GAGCTCCTTAGCATCTGAGCATGGATATAAAGTCATCAGGTAGATTTCAGTGGTAATGTTTTTCACATCTACTTGTTAACTTCTTAAATCTTCTCTTTCTGCAGCCATAAAATGTGAAGTCTGTTATAAAAAAAGATATTCCTGACGCACTGAAAGTTATTATTAAATAACAACTTGTTTGGCTCTATTAGTTTGGCCTCTTACATTATAGATCCATTTGTGGTATTTGAAGTAGTTCTAGATTTGTATATCTTAACTGTCATTAATATAAATGTGGAATTTGTCTCAGAAGTTTTTTGGTCTAAGTAGATGCTGGTGGGAAACCCATGTGTCAGAGCATTTCTCTAATTATGACCACTTGGGTGCTGATTGACAATATAAAGTAAAGCCTGAGTCTAATGGTTTGGGGCCAGCTGTTGTAAAAACAGAGTTAATGCATCATAATGTCAGGGGCTTGTTGTACCAGATAGTTTTTAAGATAAGTAGTCTAAGTTCGCAGAGTTTTATTGTTGTTATTGCTGTAGGATACAGCTAAATAATGTTCAAGTTATTAGATGTTGCTGGAACCCATGTTAGAATGAAGTGATTTCAAAATGGTGAGCAACATCTTGCTTTCAAACTTACAAAATGATTGACTTACAGGGTGCTGTGTTTGACTGTGAGGAAGTCCCCTAAAGGCCTGTGGTTCTGTAGGAGGAGTGGCTTAGTGGGAGGTTACTTGGAAAGAAGGTAATAGAACCCCAGCTTGCCATACAGGCACCCTCTCTCTTCCTGGTCATGGAGAAGCAGCTTCCTTTGTCATGCATTTCTTCCATGGTGATGTGCTACTAGTCTGGTGCTGAGACCTTTAAAACTGTGAGCCAGAATAGACCTTTTCTCTTTCAGGTAGTATGTGTCATAATCTACTTTGATCGGTTCCAGTTTTTTCCTCAATTTTGAAGCAAAATCTTAGCCCTTTTTCGTGCTTTTACATGTTCCGTCTTACTTTCCATGAATCTGATCTTTTCCATATCAGATAGTGCAATGTCATAGTTAAGAGTATCAACTGCTTTCATTTGACTCCCTCTGTAACATATTCTGAATTTCTGAACGAGCTACTTTAACTTCTCTGTACCTTGACTTCTCTATGAGAAAATGATAATATTTGTATGTTACCTTGTAAGAGTCATGAAAAGATAAAATGAATTAATAGGTAAAGAGCTCAAGATAGTCTTAGTTCTTGAGAGTATGAAAGTGTTACTGTGCATTTGCTCAGTCTGTTGATTGTGCTTTTACTTCACGATTCATCGTGATTAAAGTTATGCTTTAATATAAGTTGTGCTCACTTGACGAAAGTGCTTTAGACTTTGTGCGTCCCACATTCCATTAACTCATTCCGTGGGAATGGCTGTACTGTGTTTAGACGGGATGTATAAAACCTCTTTTTCCTGTTAGTATAGCAGTTGTGTTCTTTGAAATTCAGTCACATAATTAATAGGCTTAGTTTTGAGAAAAGTGGACGATTGAGGTCCTTGTAATTGTGTTGCATGACCAGGCACAGTGGCTGAGACTTTGCACATTTTCTTTGGAGACAAATGTCCTAGACATTTGGCTATGATTTAATATGTTTGGCATTTGTCAAAACCTTTCTTAAGACCTATATTGTTTAGAACTTTTAGTTTTGGTTGCCTGAAGTTTTGCAAAATATAATTATCTAAATAAGCTCCAACTAATTTATACTACCTTTATCCATTTATGTCGATCATTTTATCCATTTATGTTTGGAAGATAATGGGAGACGAGATCTGATATGAAATCTGATGTCGTGTAGGCATCCTTTCATGTAGATAGAATCCCATGGTGGAGATGAACAGTATTCATCATGGGTGCTTCCTGTACCAGGAGGTCTCCATAATATCATAGTGCTCACCATATAGCATTTGTTTTATTACTATTTTTATGTGTATGATTATATTGCCTGCACGTAGGTGTGCCTGTGTTGTACAATGCTTGCAGAGCTCAGACAGTTATTAGCCACCATGTGGCTTCTGGGAATCGAACCCGGGTCTTCTGCAAGAGCAACCAGTGCTCTTAATTGCTGAGCCATCTCTCCAGCTCCTTAATTGTACATTTGTGTATATTTTGGAATGGTAGTTATAAATGTGAAAGCTCTCAGGTAGGAAGAAAGGCTTATCAGAGGCTCACAGCAGGCTAGCAAGAAAGAGGAAGTGTTATAAATTGAAGCAGGCGAGGCTAGTAGCCCATAGGAAGATCATGAAGATTTTATAGGTTGTGTTCAAGATTTTTTATTTTAGCCAAGGAGCAACCAGAAGCCATTGGAAAGTTCAGTGATGTCATATTCCCTTAAATGGAGTATAGAAAACAGATTAATGGGGAGAAAGAATGTATCAGAGGTCAGTTAAAAAGTTTTACTAGAGTATAAGTATAGATTGAAACATCATAGTGACTTGTACTAAGATTGTATAGTAATTATCTGCAACTGTTTAGGAGGTAAAACTGAGAACTTTGTGGCTCCGTGTAGGTCATAAATTAGGGGAGAGGAAATGATGATAGTTGGAATTTTTGGATTTGTAGCTGGTGGTGTTATGGAACTAGAACACTAGAGAAGGGCCCTAGGGTTAGTGGTGGAAGATTATCCAAACTCAGCTCACATTGCTATCTCTTAGGGATTTTAAAAATAAGTTTAGGGATGGTAGTAGTTTATCTTAAATATTTTGATTAGCTGTAACTAATTCTACTGTTCTACTGAACTCGAAGTTCTTTGAGCTCCAAGTTACTTTTGTTCTGTCTTACGTCAAATCCACCCTGGGTTTGGCAAGTCTGCATCCTTATGAGAGCAGAATGGTTGAAGCCCTGGTGCCCTTCCTAATTTATTTCTTAGCCATTCCTATTGAACTTACACTAGTTGATAAACCTAATATAAACTTCTACAGTGCTTTGCAGCTGCTCAGCCACTCTATAACAACAGATTGAAGGATGGGTGGATTTAGAGCTTTTGGAGCCTTCTCAGCAGTCTGTCCTTGGGGAACTTTCAGGATATTAAATATAGAAGCAGCTCTGTATCTGCATTAGCAACCAGTGTCACATTGGGTTCTTTGGGTTTCTGTTATTGATCCAGGTGTTTGCGTCTTCTGCAGTTTATAGTGCGTTCAGTAGCTGTATTTTGTTTCCTGTTGCTGTGATAAAATGCCCTGATAAAAGTAGCTTAAGAGACAAAGGGTTTATTTGGCCCACAATCCAGGTTTTCCAGTTGTAGCCCGAAAATTACTCATTCATTGGAAAAGAGTGGGCGACACAGGACACCCAGGGAAAAAGGGGGAGCCGAGGCCAGATTGGAACTCCAGGAGCAGATCCTGTGGCTGGGGAGCTGTGAACGAGGGGTACCCGGCCTGCCCATAGTCTAGCCATTAGGGGGTGGAGCCGCAGCAATATTGGAGCATGGCAAACACTGAGCGAGAGAATGGGGGCAGGAGATGGATGGCGCATGCATTTCAAATATGGAAAAGGAAAAGCCTGTAAGAATCTGTGTTTTTTGTAAGTTACCCCCTCCCAAATGTCATCTAAATTATGCAAAATTAAAATAGGATATCTTATTTTGGTTTTGTTAACCAGCGTCAGGACCAGGAGACCCGGTGACTGAGGGCCAGTCTCCCAAGAAGGGGAGGGGAGGAAATTTAGTGAAATAGCAGTCCATCTCTCTGGGACAGTCAAGGTGGCAGGAACTTGACACAGCTAGTCACATTACAGCCATAATGAAGGCAGAAAGCAGTGAGTTACTGCATCCATTCTGGCCTCAGCTTGCTTTCTCCATTCTTACACAATGTAAGATCCCCTACTCAGAGCACAGTGCCTCCCACACTGCTTGAATCTTATCACTTCAATTAGCATAATCCACAGACTGCCCACAGGCCAGTCTAATCTAAACAGTCCCTCATTGAGACTCCTTCCCAAGTGATTTTAGATTGTGTCAACTAGACAGTTATAACTAAGCATCACGAGGCCTGGAGTGATGACTCAGCAGTTAAGAGCTGTTGCTGCTCTTGCAGAGGACCTAGGTTCAGTTCCCAGCACCCAAATAGCATCTCACAACTGCCTCTTACCCCAGTTTCAGGGCATCTATCCAATGCCTTTTTCTTTCCTCTGTAGGCGCTGCATGCATGTGGTGCACATACTACATACATGCAGGCAAAACACTCATAAAATAAAAATAAATAAATATTTTTAAAAATCCTGACCATCACAGTAGCTGTGAAAATATTTGTGATCTTAAATTGATGCATCATGATGTCTGCTAACTTGTTTTCTCATCTCAGTGATTTTCATAGCCAGGGCTGCAAAGCTCTTGCCCCCTGGGCATTGTGGTAAATTCCCTGAAAATACTGTACGCCTTTAGTTTTTGCTGCTTTGTCAGGATGTTAAAGCTGTGTATCTCTTATGCATACTGGTACTCCAGGTTAAATTAAAAATGTGAGTCTTAGAGTGTTCTGTCTTCAAAGAATAAGATTGTTTTCCAGAAATGCTATACCAGCTTTTTAGGACCATTCTCTCCTATTTTCTGGTAAAGTATTGTATTTTGGGTAATTATGCCATTCATACCATTAGCCCAGAGGCTTCACTAGTAGTGCTTCTTTTCTTTTATTGCTATTAATTCTTGTTTGGCTAGTATAAATTGAAAAAAATCTTTGATTCTTGCTTTGATAATAGCAAGAATTTTGAATGAATTAAAGGAAAATAGTAAAAACAAGACTGTTCATAATCTAAAGATGTTATCTTTGAATAACATAACATTACCATTCAAAATAGACAGATTATCCTGGTGATTCTTTGAGTTTGTATAACTCACATGCTAGTTGTCTTTAGGTGCAGTTTTATTTTGTCAGGTGCGATTTTCCCTCTGTGATCTTTCAGAAATTCTCCCTAGCCAAAAATATTAGGAAGCAGTGTAAATTTTACCAAGAAGAGTATATTTATTTGTCCCTTTGGTTGTGCTATTTTCTCAGATTCTTCAGGAATCCCAAAAGAGGGGCTGAAGAGATGGTTCATTGGTTAAGAAAGAGTACTTGCTGCTCTTCCAGAAAACCAAGTTTGTTTCTGAACACCCACGTGGTAGGTGTCTGTAACTGTAACGCCAATCTAGGGGGTCTCATGCCGTCCTCTCGCACGTGCATACACGCAGGCAAAAACCATTTGCACATAAAATAAAAATAAATACATCTTTAAAAAAAGAATTCCAAAGGAGTTCTGTATCTGCATCATTTCTTTTGAGAGTCTTGACTTATAGTGGTAATATTTATATAAAGAAAAAACTGAGAAATTAGTGAAACTCTGGTAAAGGAACTTGCCTTCACCATTTCAATTTATTTCTGCATAAGGCGCTCATAATTCAAGAATCGGGCATAACATAACCACATTTTTTCTAAGAAAAAAAGTTCAGAGGCTTTTAGATTGTTTATTTGTAATTCTAAATGAATAGGATCAGTAGATGCACTCTGTCCTCTTTCTACTCAGGAATTTATGAACTACTTGGATGATAAAGGCCGTAAAGTTTTATTGTCCAGCTTCAAGCCACGTGAAGTTTTAGAGTACTTGAAGTTTGACTAATTTGAATTGATATGTTTTGTAAGCCAGAAATGCATGTTGAATTTTAAAGATTTAGTAATGTTCTCTTAAAATATAATTACCAGTAGTTGTTAAATTTTGTGTATTTTTAAAATAATTTATTGAGAATTTCATACATGCATATAAGGTGTTTTGATCAAATTCATGCCCACTCCCTCCCCTCCAACTCCTCTTATATGTCCCCATCACTTTTGTCTGATAACTACATGTACTCTTTCTTCTTCTTTGATTTATTTATTATTTTTATGAGGCTTTTGGCTACTCTAACATTCCACCCTCTGAAGAGGTAACCCTATAATCTTTTAAGGCTTAGATAAAAGCTCCCAAATATTTTTGACATTTTTGGCCTATGGAACAGAGTATGTTGCTAAGAGGCCCAAGGACATTGTGAGTTTTAGCCAAGAAACTGGCTGCTTTCTTTAAGGTCTTTTTACCCTTACTGCCTAGCCAATACCTACCTCCTAATCTTATCACGCCATCCTTTGAACAGGCTACCCAAATTATCTATAGGGAATAGGGATGCAGACCGCTCTGGCTTCTTCCACTTAGGTTGCTTCCATCTCTTAGCTATTGTGAAAAGAACAGCAGCAAACATTGTTGTACAAGTGTCTCTACAGTAGGATGAATCCTTTGGGTATATGCCAAGGAGTGGTATAACTGGGTCATATGGTGGGTTCATTTTTAGTTTTTTTTGTTTTGTTTTGTCTTTTTGAAGCAGGGTCTCCCTGTAGCCCCAGCTGTCCTGGAACTCACTATGTAGACCAGGCTGGCCTTGAACTCACAGAGATCTGCCTGCCTCTGCCTCCCAAGTGCTGGGACTACAGGCATGTGCTACCACGCCTGGCTTTCATTTTTAGTTTTTAAAGAGTTCTCCACAATGTTTTCCATAGGGGTTGCATGAGTTTGTAATCCCACCAGCAGTGAATGAGCGTTCCCCTTTCTCCATATCCTCGCCAGCATTTGATACCATTTGTTCTCTGGATCCTAGCCAGTCTGATTGGGGTAATTAACACCACTTGGTGTTAATTTGCATTTCCCTAATTACTAAGGATGTTGAACACTTGGAGATGTTTCTTAGCCACCTTTATTTCTTCCTTTGAGAACTCTCTGTTTAGATCTTTAGTCCATCTTTTCATTGGGTCATCTGGTTTCTTGCTTCTTTGTTTTTTGAGTTCTTTATATATTCTGGATGTTAAACCTCTGTCAGATGTGTCACTGGTGAAGATTTTTTCCCATTCTGTGGGTTTTCTCTTTACTTTCTTGGTTGTTTCTTTTGCTGTACAGAAGCTTTT